CCCCAAAACCCCAAAACCCCAAAACCCCAAAACCCCCGTTCTGATAAGTTTGTTGTAGTACGACGAGAAGTTAAAATAAAAAGAAAGCAAATTGTTATAAATTAATTATAATCCTTAATTTATTATAGACGCAAATAATAATGTACAAATTCACTTAATATCTTCGCAACACAAAGTCGATTCATTCGGCAAGAAACTTTTCAACTATCACTCTTCCTAAGAACTCTAATCAGGCAAGAGGCTTAGGTGAATATGCCATTGAATTTATGAAGCAATAAAACAAAAAGATAGATGATGAGGTCTATTAGAGAGTGCAGTTATTTCACACTGATTCAGTTTTATGTGGAATTTCAGCAATCGCAATGAGAACCAACTCGCCTAATATACTTAGAGATGAAGCAATAAATCTGTACTCAGTGAATCCTGATAAGAAAACTAAAGACTCACAACATTTCCTATCTAAATGCTTTGGTTCTAAATTGTGGGTGCATGCTGAGAAAGCTATTGTCGCGAATGTTTCAGCAGTAAGAGAGTGGGACTCTAATGGAACTGTTTTTGGCTACGATAAAAATCTAGAAGGTCACAATGCAGGAGAATTTGGACATAACGATTACTATCCAGTGGTCATTGCTGCTTGCCACAACAATCCTGCTTATTCAGGAATGGATGCTCTTAAGGGAATGATTTTGCTAGATGAAATCAGAGGCAGACTGTGCGAAGTATTCTCATTGAAAAATCACAAAATAGATCATGTATTACACGGAGCTATTGCATCAGCAGTGACTTATGGTGCTATGATAGGTGCCTCAGTAGATCAAATAGAATCAGCAGTAGGTATGGTGGTATCTCACTACACTCCTTGGAGAGCAATTAGAGCTGGCAAATAATTAAGTGATAGTAAAGGGGCTAGTGCTGCTTTGTCCACAGAGGTTGCCATTATGTCAGTTCACAGGGCAATGAGAGGTTTCCTTGGCCCAAAAGATATATTTAGAAATCCAGAATCGTTGTTCAGGTAATTTGAACCAACTGAATCGAACGAGTTCTCTCCATTTGAATTAGTATTAGGAACTAAAGGCTCTGATTTTTCAGTGATGGGGATGCATTTCAAACTAGGTTTATATGAGCATCAAAGTGCTGGGGCTATATAAGCAGTTTTAGATTTGCTTAAGCAAGATGCGTAATCAATCTTCTAAGACAGAAGTCATGAGGGCATTGAAAAAATACAGATCACTGCATATGAGCCAGCTTTTAGCATTATAGGTGATCAAGCTAAAAGAAACCCAAAGACTAGACAATCAGCTGATCACTCTATGGTTTATATTGTGGCAAGTGTGCTTCGTAAAGCTCTGAATAAATTCGACAAAGTACTAGAAGTTTAAAATAGTTAAGATGACCTATGGAAGACACTGATGCTAAAACCAATGGACTATGGTTACACTGCATTATAGAATGAAGTAACAAGAGCCATCATGAATAAGATAGAATTTGTGCATGGAGGACCTGAGTATGACTAGAACTATCCAGATGGCATTCCAACCTCAGTTTAAATTACTTGCAAAAACGGAAAAGTCCTGGACTCAGGTATGGTTCTTTACCCAGGTGGCCATGCAAGAAATACTAATATAGCCTTACACGAGGTACTCTAGCATAAATTTAAAAACATGGGAGTAATGGCCCTTAATAAAAACGACCTCATTAGATTTAAAGTGCAGTTAGAAAACATTGGAGAAATGACTGAGGAAGATCTACAAGATATTTATGACTGCAATATTAAATTCAGTGAGGACCCGATCGACTCTGCCCCTCATGATCCTAAAAATAGTAATGAAATAGACAAAGAGGAATTAGCGGCAGCTGATGCATCTGATAAATAATCTGGAGAAGCCAAGCAGTGATTAAGTAAAGAGGGGTAGCTCAGATTAAGCTACAAAGAGAAAAATATAAAAAATCATATTGATTAGGGCTGCTGATGAAAACTCTACTCTTCAGACTAATTATGAGTAGTATACATATACATAATGATGAAAACTCTCACACAATATATTTTTAAGATTATTCCTTTGCTCAATTCAGTTTAAGATTCTGACGGGGTTTTGGGGTTTTGGGGTTTTGGGG